TCCTTTCATTTAAAGGCCACTTGATTCATTAACCATGCTGTCAGATTTTAGCAAGGACAACTGAAGTTTGAATGAGGTTTCTAAACACTTGTTTTGCTTTTAAATGTCTATGAAACCTCTTCACGGAATGTTAGGGACAGAAAGAGAAACTGATTTAAGTGTTTGATGAAAATAGAACAACACTGAACTGTACTACATTTATGGACTTATTTGGTAGACACATTAGAGGCCAAAGCCATATAAGAAAGGAAATAAAGGGACTTTCCTTTTCCATTGAAACGAGGGGTTCATTGATCTCTCCGTCCAGCAGTCTATATTAATGTGAGAGCTGTAGAGTCCCTCACTCTCTGGTTTTCTCCTTTCTTTCCACATATCCTCATTTTTCAACTCCAAAAAAAATTCAGTTTGATGTCTGCTTTCTAACCAGAACCCTAACCAGAAACGTCATGTTTCAAGTGCACGTGCTCCAACTCGTTGAGCCTTGATGCTCATCCGGAACAATGCAAGTTCTAATCTGGCTCGTGGCCTTCGTCAATCCCTCTCCCTTCCGACGTCCTGCTTCAGACACAAAGATTTCTTGTCATTTCTCTGCTGTTTCTATTGCATCTAATTATCACAAGCAAATAAATAAAGAAATGATCCTCTGTTTCTTTCAGTTGCAAAATCATACGCAGTTTCCAACTGAAACAATGTCCTTTTCCCTAAAATTATGATAAAAGCAAATTAGCAATAAACAAATACTTATTTTCACATGGTTCCTTATTATTTGTAAATGAATGCATTTTGATATTTGCATCATATAACCAGCTCCATACGTATGGCTTTCCTGATGCAGCCTTGTAAACTTGCTCGGCAGCTCACCTGGTAACACAAGTCATAACACTCATTAAAAGAGCTCAAAGCCTCGTAGAAGCATGCTGAAATGCATGGTTGCTTTAGCAAATAAGTTTTTAACTCATGTTTGCATTTGCTCACACTATCCGTTAGGTTTAGGGTAGGGTTTAATGTAGGTGGTACGTTCATTTCAAACGTGATAAAGCATTAACCTTTTAGTGCCACAATACGTACAACAGCGAACGTATTAAAAAAAACCTTGCCACAGTCCCGTCTGTGAGAAAAAATGAACGTGCTATTTCACCAGTCACTGGACATTTCACTCTGACGTGAAAGGTGATACAAGCAAGGCTATATCATTTTGCAAAGACAGCCACTTTGTTTTTCTCTCGACAGATTATATCGCTTATAGTGCCTCTTGTGGAAATTTCACCTGAAAGTGCAGCAAAATACCCGGAGCAACGTATTTGTGACCCTGGACCACAAAACCAGTCTTAAGTTGCTGGGGTATATTTGTAGCAATAGCCAACAATACACTGCATGGGTCAACATTATCGATTTTTCTTTTATGCCAAAAATCATTAGGGTATTAAGTAAAGATTATGTTCCATGAAGATATTTTGTAAATTTACTATCTTAAATATATCAAAACTTAATTTTTGATTAGTAATATGCATTGTTAAGAACTTCATTTGGACAACTTTAAAGGCAATTTTTTTGCACCCTCAGATTCCAGATTTTCACATAGTTGCATCTCAGCCAAATATTGTCCTATCCTAACAAACCATACATCAATGGAAAGCTTATTTATTCAGCGTTTAGATGTTGCATAAATCTCAATTTCAAAAAAAGTGACCCTTATGACTGGGTTTGTGGTCCAGGGTCACATTTCAGGTTTTGCAGAAACGTAGGGTATTTCCAATGAGTCTGTGTGTTGCATGAAAGTGTTTGCAATTTCATTTTCGGACAGAAGAAAGCTGGGCCTGTAAATAAAAGTGGTGTAATTAAGAGAAATCCCACTTTGTTCCTATTTTAAATATAACTATTGACATCAATTCTTGTGTAGCATGTCTATCTTTTTAATCCCCTTAGAAGAACGATTATTGATGCCAGTGAATCTGGGAAAGGTTTTAAAAGCATTTCCAAGCAATTTACAAAAAAAAAAAAAAAAACTTGAAAGATTAGATAATCTGTTTCAAAACACTTAATAGATCCAGGCCAAACCTGGTTGTGAGATAGCATTGGATAATCAGCACAGATCCAGTCTTTCAGCATTAGAAGTATTCCAGGAAAACATCAGTGGATTACAGGAAAACCCTGCTTTAGTCAGTACTGAGTCATGAGTCAGCCATCCTGAAAAAAGGCAGTGGGTTGCAAAGACAGGAAGGAAGATCAGGTCCCTGCGGTGTTTGGGTGAATGCAGTGCGTCTGTATGGATTGTGTTGGTCACTTGTATTGGTCACCTGCTTCTGGGTAAACTCTGATCTCTGTTCTTCTGCCTGTAAGTGACTACAGGATCTAGGACATCCTCCTCCAGAGGAAGAGCTCTTTGATCTCCCCTCTTCATCTCTGGAGAGATTTCTTGTTATCGTCCTACTACAAAAATAGTTTCGGAGTAATCATAACCTGAATTTCTAAAATTATAACTACAGCCATAAAAATACTATTTGTGATTTGTCATCTTCAGCTGTTGCCAACTCAAATGCTGTTACATCATCATCTGTTATGTTAACATACAATACAAAATGATTCATTATATTATGCATTACAACAGTATTCAAAAAATGCTTTCATTTGTTTAATAATAATAATGTTTACATTTTCTTAGTAAACAAAACTGCAGCACCCATCACATAAGACTTGCGGAGGACTGAGATAATGTTTGAACAGTATTTTTTTTTTATGTAGGCGTACATTATAATGCCTGATTTTGTTCAAGTGCATTTTGTTCAGTGCTCATTTTGAAACTTAAAACTATAAGAAAATATTGTGAAATCAATAACCCAACAAAACACAACCAGTAATTTTGAAAGCAGAAGTTCTTTCCACAAACGTTTAGAAATTTATAGAGATGATGCAAGATATGCAAGCTATTGTATATATCTACACAACATGTTTGTTAATTTTATGTTAAAATAAATCATACACATATTTTACAACTGAAAAAGAAATAGGCGTAATAAAACGTAAAAGTCCTTAAAAGAGTATCACAAAATCATCTCACCTGTAATTGCTGAAATGAATATCATGATCCACTAATGGCCTAATTTAGGGTTTTCCATTCAAATGTCTCCATTATTACGCACTGAATTTAATTAAAGAAATAAAGTAGAAAGCAGGGTAGTGAAGCTCTTACCTGAAATATATTCAGTGTGTGTCTTCAAACACTGTGAAGCCTTTATCAACCATCCTGCTCATTTCACCTGAGCCAGGTAAAATATTTCACTTTCATTTGCCCTTTTTTCTGTAAGCCATGGAAAGACTGGGGGGCATGTTGTCACAATAGGAATCTGCCATTAAACAGAACTTCAGCAAAATGCAAATATAAGTAAAAAAACATGAAATTTAAGTTAAAAAAAACAAAACATGGAACATAAAATGATTCAAGAAAAAGGCTGAATAAGTAAAAATATGAAAACATTGTTTAGGCCAACATAGAATTGTAATTAATTAATGTATAAACTTATTAAATGCATGTGACAACTTCCTCAAATCTGACATACACTTTCTCAGAACCCTTTATTATAATATAGTTGACACTTGTCTTTATATAGTGTTGTATTTTAAAAATATAATACATTCAAGGAAATGTATGAGAAAGTGAAATAAGGAAATAAAGATTTAACCACAAAAATTGTCCTTTTCTCAAAGGCATGCATGATTCCTACAAACCATATGGGAAAACACCCACAATGTGGACGCATTTATGGTTTTTACAGACTGATTCATCAGAATACATGGCTGCTTTTTTAAGGCAGATGTTTTGTATATTCAGAGTGTGTAGTTACCACATCTGCCAGCAGGGGGAACCATGCTAACCAGCCACACAATGACCGCTTGGTGTTTTTATGTATTTCATCATCTGGTTATTTCTGTTGTTTCAGCATAGCAGAATGATGTCACGTATTATTGTATGTTGTGTTATGTTCTTGGGTCACTTTATGGCTCTATGGAGTTAAAAAGTTGCTCAAGTCATTTTTGGTCATTCAGATCAAAATATTAGTGTCTGTTTTTTTCTTCTTTAAGTTGTTTATGGGTTCACCAATGTGGCATCAGACCATTTTTTCTCTCTCTTATTGGGTCTGTTTATTTTAGGAGTGCAGAGATTATATTCATAATGTTTATGAGACTGTGGGTAAACAGCTGAAAAGATGATAAAACTAAATTATTATCATGCCCTAACTGCTTTCAATCTACCACAGATGGGGTGTGAAGTTGTTTTATTACAAAATAAACATATAAATCAAAAGCTACATGATGCTTTATCATCAAAAATCCTCCATTTGGATAAGTTACTTCTAAACTGGAGGATGATACAAAAGCAAGATGGCTTTAGCTCATGGCTTGTGAGGATCTGATAAACAACCTTCAGTTTGCCAGCCCTGAGCCGACATCATGCTAAAAAATGAAGTTATGCTTAACCAGCGAAAATCATTAATAATGAAAAGAGGAAGTGAGGAGGAAGTAGATAACACTTGACTAAACATATGATGGAAAGTTTCTGACTTCGGAATTAAAGTGAACTGATTCACATTAACTTCTGTGGACCCATATGGCAAAGGTTTTGGAACAGTGATAACGCTGTCCACCTTCCTACAACCCATGAAGCTTTGGGCAAATTAGGAGATTATGTTAAACTGTAAACTGTGTCTAAATGTTGGCTCCATGAATGCAATAATAAGCATTTTCAAAAACTGGGTACAACCAGGTGACATTATTCTACTCACCCTTTAACCAACATTAACATCGTAACTGCTAATAAAGAAAAGAAGGTCAGGCTACTATGCTGCTACTAGCTTGAAGCCGCAACACATAGACCTTGAACTGAAAGAGTTTGCAAGCAAAAGGGAAAATGACAGTACTCTTAATAAAACACAAACCTGGTTTACAAAACAACGTTTTTATTATTAACAATGGCTAGTTAAACCAGATAACCTTCATCAGTCTATTTGCATATATTATAATTAGCCTACTAGCCATTTAATAGTGTTCACCGTTTTACCTTACCTGATATGAATAGCAATAATGTCAGCATTGCTTTTTAAAACAAAAAGTATATAAGCTGCTTTCCTACTAAATATATGTTTCAGATATTGATATTTCTTTAAAAAATAGAAGTATTTATTTATTTACTGGAATGTGGGAAGCTTTGATGTTGTCAGTGACCATCCACTAATAAAGTGATTATCACCTGTAAGCATGGCCACAGCGGTGCGCCTCAAGCCATCAGATTCATCCGCGCAGACTAGAGCGGAGCTGAAGCACAACTCACATAATTACAACAACAATCTTCCTCCGCAAGTAGCATGAAGTTTTACGCTTCAACCGCTAGAGGGTCAAAAAAACCAAAAAAAAAAACAGTCCAAGTTTGAAATCCAGAAAATTAATTTAAAACCAAATGAACGTTTTCAAATAATAATTGTTAAAAACAGAGAGACATGTTTAGGAAAAAATACTAAACTGATCAGTAATTTAGAATAATAATGCATGTAGATATTGGGAAGTGCACTGCTGTTTGTTGTTTATAGAGACTACTGGTGGTGTAGAGAAGATGTTTTGATAGGGTTCACAACATTTACAACATATTTTACTTATTTACTACTTACAGCAGTAATAAGCAATTTCTGAGTGAAGACAATCAGAAAGACATCAATTTAACATTGAATGTGAGCTTATAGTAGTTTGTAGAAGATTCCTGAAACTGGCATGCATTTTTGAGAAAGCTTCTTGACTAGGATGTGGCATCTAGAAATATCACATTTTTTAAGGCCTAGTGGTATTGTATCATTATTTACTAATGAGTTAACATTAACAAATGGCATACATATGATCACAACACACTAAAAACATTTTAGCCCCTTCTTTACCTCAACAATTTCCCCCAAAAAAGGCAACAATGTTTCAAAACTATGAAGGATTCATAGAGTAATAAAAACATTCCTTATTGCTCATACATTAGACATATGGTCGCTTTCAAACAGTGCAATGATTATTTCCACTTCAAATAAAATGAAGTGCATTAGCTGTCCGGTCCAATGAAGGACAGACAGGAGAAGGGTGTACCAGCCAGGCAGTCTGTGTTAACCGCTGCTTGAATCTCACTAAAGAAAGCCTGCTCTCTATTCCCAGTATTCCCTGTTCTCTGTTTCAGCTCTGCCAGCTGCTGTAGTATAGTATGCTTTTCCCTGCCTCTTATAATTCCTCGGAAGTACAGCACAGCTGAGAGATGACCCTTCCTGAAATGAGTAAAACATTGGTTGAATTAAAGTAAAATGAGCAATGTTACATTAACAGACATGGTAAATCTACAGCCAGTAATATGACTCTCACCTGATATCTGGATAGTTCTCAACTAATGGCTGTAGGTTACTTTTTACATCACTTTTTTTGCACCCAATGATATTGCTCAGCTGGTTCCCGACTGGATGGAGCCAATCTAAGGAGGAGTTCTACAAAAAATGATACGTAAGGAACATGTTAGGATGTTTTGATGAAAAGCACAGCTGTACAGAGTGGCATTATGGAGACTGTACCATATCTTGGAAGATCTCCTTCAGTTCCTCCCACTGATTTGTGATCTTACTGGCAGCTGTCTCATTCTTCCTGTTTTTGCATGAGTAGTTATTCTTCATCAGCTGAGATACATATTCTTTCACCACAAAAAAGTGAGCTTCATTCACAAAAGCCTAAAGAGACATAAACGTTGGAAATAGAGAAAAAATTATGGCACTCTCAAGCTGTAGCAGAGTGGTTACATTAGAGAATATTAATGCAACCAACTGTTTGCACTCTCACCTGCTTATGTTTTGGGGTCATGTACTTGCTCTGTTCAGAAAGAGTCTTAGTTCTGTGGATCAGCTGTAAAAAGTCTTCATCAAATGAAAACCATTTCCCTGTCATCTGTCTCCTGAGGAAGGGCTACAAACAGAAGCTATTTAATACTTAATATTCACTCACTCCACTATAAAACGTATACATTCAGTTAATTATTAAATTCCAGTCGCATATTCACAGACATTATTTATTAGTGATTCAGTGATTTATTTACTTCTGGAATCCTGCAGATATGTAGTATTGCTTTGTATTAAAATAAATACTACATAAACGTTGTTTGCCTGTTATAATCTGCATGACACAGAGTCTGGTGTGACTCTTAAACTACTGCCATTGTTTAACAATGAGAAAAGTGTGCATTTCAGAAGCTCACACCTTGACATCTGTTTTGAAGTTCTCCATCACAGCTTGACTCAAACTGGTGGTCAGTCTATCTATTTCTTTTTGAACCAACTCCAGCTGAATTGGGCAGGTGTCTTTATAGCTCTCCATGTGCTCTCTGGAGGAAAAAACAAAATTTAACTAAATAGTTTATAAAATGTGTTTTTTTTTCTGTTTGCGGTGTGTATTTTGCTCTTTATGTCCACTTTATGTACAGTACAGTTGTAAAATAAAAAGTATAATAACAATATTTGTTTGCATATATTTTTTGCTTAATCTTTATATACAAAGATGAATTCTTGAAAGGACTGTATACTGACATGTTTTCTGTAAGTAATCTAAGTAATGTTACATTGATTTATGCTCCCAGAAATCACAATAGTATTGTAATAGTCTAGTAAAATCATTTAGTTCTCTAACATGAAACACATACAAATGCATTCACCTGGATATAATTATTTGTTAGTGTATGCACTATAGTGTAACACTACCATTATACACTTTGGGGATTGTGAGATTTTTTGAAAAAAGTCTCCTATGCTCACCAAAGCTGCATTTACTTGATCAAAAAACAGTAATATTGTTGAATATTAATAAAATTCATTATAACTTCTTTATATTTTAATATATTTTAAAATATAATTTCTTCCTGTGATGGCAAAGTTGAATTTTCAGCATCATTACTCCAGTCTTCAGTATCATATGATCCTTCAGAAATTATTCTAATATGCTGACTTGATGCATACAAAACATTTCTTATTATTATCAGCGTTGAAAACAGTTGTGCGGGTTTTCTGTGTAAACTATGATCCGGAATACAAGTATTAATTTCATTTAAAAATCTTAACAAATAATCTTAGTGACCCCAAACCTTTGGTAGTGATTCACATTTGGCAAATGGATTGGATTACAGCTAATAAGCTTAAGGGTTTCAGGTTGCCTAACAACAAAGCAGACAATAGGATGAATTTGTCATAATAAAACTGTACTGTAATGCAGCGTTTTCTGCTTTGTAATATTTAAGAAATAATCAATAATGCATTCACATCTAAAACATCTTAATTTTATGATTTTTTTTCATATACCCCTCATGTTTAGTTAGAATTTCCCAGGGTCTTTGGTTTAAGTTTTGGAGACACACATCCAATGGTTTCCATCCTTCAGGCATTCCCCGCTGTCAGGGACTTCCCCTGCCAACTGCCTTATTGCCTCTACTGTGTGTAGCACATATTCCCAGAAATCACGTGACTGATTGTTATGTTAGTTTTTTTATTCATGGTATTTAAAACGACTCGCTCAAAAACAGCTGGCACCTAAACTGAATGATTATGATTATGAAAAGATTAGAATATCAAATGAAAATGCTTCCATCAATATAAATGTGAATGTTACCATGTAGCTTTTCTCCTTCTATTAAAGACCTCCTGGCTTTGGAAACACAAAATCTTTCTAAATGGGTGCTCATTAAATAAAGGAACTAGAATGCAGCTGGCTATATATTATTTCTGCTCCTCCCAAAAAAGTTTAAATGAAAATGACTTTTGGGCATTGTGTTGTGTAAATGACTTACTTCAGGGCACTAAAGCTGTTGATGTAGCTGATGTGATACTCTGCCCAGAGAGAGGAGTTAGAGAGAGGACTGCTCCACTCAACAAATGCTGACTCAAACCTACAGAGACAAGTAACCACAGTCAGTCATACAGAGAATTAAAACAAGCAAACAAAAACAATTAAATACTGCCAAAATTCTATGCAATAAATCTAAAAACACATAAATGACCTAATTTGTCAGATATTATTGAGGCGAAATAAACATGGAAATGTGTTTCATGGGATGTAGTTTTGATAAAGTCTATGGGAAAGATGTGTCATATGAATAGACTGGCAAAAAGAAACGTCTCCGGTTACTATCGTAACCTCGGTTCCCTGAGAGCGGGAACGAGGCATCACGGACACATTTCTCCGTTATGGGAACTCCTTCACTTCCAACCTTTCAGAAGTCCTATTGGCTCACGCCAGTCCAAATGACTGGCCAATTGTCGGGACGTATGCAAATCGCATGCAAATACTGACAAGCTCAAGAGGGAACCGTTCCCGCTCTCAGGGAACCGAGGTTACGATAGTAATTGAAGACGTTCCCTCTCGAGCTTTCACGAGACATCACGGAGACATTTCTCCGTTATGGGAACAATATTCAATCCCGCCGTGAGAGAGGCTACGAGCAGCCTGTACAAGTCACATACTCAGCGAAGATAGAACACACACACACAATTCCTATAACCAATAGCGACGCTTGTAGGCGAGCTCGCAGCTGATAGGTGGAGATAAGTCAATGAGCCTCTAAAACCCAGGTATACAATTTGCATATCTGGTCAGTAATAACGTACGCTGCGCTGAGAACAGGGCAGAAGAAACAACAGTTCTGGAAGGGCTGCACAGAGATAACTGTGTTTAAGCAGCATAACACATAACATGATAATGGTAGCACAAAGTGAATCAGACATGAATAACAGGAAGCTGCACTGAGTACAGGGCAGACAACAACAACAATAGCATAGAGTGCCGTGCAGAGTAATACTGTGCAAGGCAGCATAACACACACGAATAGAGGTAGCATGAACGTGAATCAGTCACTCACCGACAGCACTTGGGAGGCTAAAGACTGAACGTCCAGCTTGTAAAACCTGGCAAAGGTATTCTGAGAAGACCAGCCGGCTCCAAAGCATATATCTTGAATAGACTTACATCTTGACCACGACCAGGAGGAGGCGATAGCCCTTGTTGAGTGGGCCCTAATGTGCAAAGGGCATTCCAAACCTTGGCTCGTATAAGCAGCCATGATAAGCGGTTTATGTGCTACCGGCTCTGAGGTTCTGACCACAGCCCCGAAGCCGGCATGCCCTTGCACACTGCTCCCCATCCGCGAGTCGATGCGTCCGTCGTGACCACGACGCACGATGTCACCAAGCCCAGGGGAACTCCCCGGCTGAAGAGATCTGGGTTGCGCCATGGCCTCAGAGCTTCGATGCAGTCGCGGGAGACCGCGATGCACAAATGGCCCAAAGTTCACGCCGTCCAAGGGACTCAAGATTTCAGCCATAACTGCAGCGGGTGCATGTGTAGTAAGCCCAGATGACATACCGCTGAAGCAGACGCCATGAGTCCCAGCAGCCTCTGAAATTCCTTCAAGTGAACAGAGCTGCCCAGTCTGAAATGGCG